GTGGTGGAGGGGGAAAAGAAAGGGAGAGGGTGGAGGTGCTCAGAAGTACATGTAGTTAAAAAAGTAAAATATTTATCATTTATTAAATAAAGTTTGGTAGACAAAGAATCAGTAGCATTGGAAGCAACTTCAGAAAAATGGGTAACTGAAAACGTACAGATAGGCCTATAAAATATAGATCTAATACTGGCCGAAACAATCCAATTGCTAAAGCCTCGCAATAAAAAATGACATTAATTAAAGACAGCCGTTATTATTTTTGTACTCAGCAGTTTGCTCAGGTTACTTGCAATCAGAAAACATTAATTATATTGTATAAGAATAAAGAGCTGCAGGTTAGAACCGTAGATTAGTCTATCCTTAAGACCAGAAAAAAAGATAAAAGAAAAGATGTCTGGCAGTGCAAATCTCGTTCTGTATAACTCAAAAGAACGTATTAGTCACTGAAGAGAAAGTCTGTTTCAACAAATTCTTAAGATATACTATAATTTTCAGTAAATTTATCACGCAAAATTGATCAACACATATGCTCTGTTTGATAACTAAAATGTTGGTCATACTCGTTCAGAAATTGTGAATGAAACGTGCTCTCGCTGTTTCTCTCACAGTGGTAACATTTAAAATTGTTATCCACGTATGATCCTAGTCAAAGAGTTCTACATTTCCAAAGAGTGAAAAATTTATAACTCAAAAAGACTCACCTCGGCTAAAGCACAGAGCAAACGTTCACTTCCATTCTATCGTATCCTCGCGCTGTGTTTTGAACGCATGAGAAGTTTGTACACCTATAAACACGACCGAGTACAGGATTTGGCTCTCATCGCTGTTCTACATTCATTTCTTTTTTTCTTCCGACACGAGAACTTGAACGCGATTGGTTCAGCCAGTCGCCAATCAGATCCGAGCAGTGGTTACCGCGCGGTGTGGTTTGGACAACAAGACTGGGAGCTTTGTGTTCGTCATTCAGCCCCTCTGTTCCTTGTGGAAATATTACCCGTCCATTTCAGTTTCTGACCGATTGGCAGAAATGAGTTCGAGAAAAACTTATCGTTGCAGTCTTATTACATCCACTTTGACGACTGGCCATTTTCTCATTTCAAACTGTGAGTCGGCACGAATAGACCTTAACACTATTCGCGTCGGCACAACTATCTTGGGAAAAAATACTACTCTGTGGCTCAGCGTGTGTATTGAGCGGTTATATCATGAATGACCCGGATTTTACGCTACGAGGATTTTTGTTCCTCGCTTGTGGAACACAAACGAAACAATGTTGTTGAGAAGGAAAGACGGACATTGGTACGAGAGCGACAGTCAGGATCAGCTGTTTGAGCCGTTCACTGGATGATCACGCAATAATTTGTCCCATTTCCCACGAAAAGGTTCAATCAACCGAATCGTTATACGGCTATTTTTATGACTGCGGTTGTTACTCTTCGCTGAATGGTTTAAAAGGGTTGGCTTAGGAAAATTCATTACATGCTAAAGTTAACTTCTAAAGTTAGATCCTCAGGGACAGAGAGGCAGGTAAGAAAGGACAAGATTAGGGGATTTTTTTTTGACCGATAGAAAATAAATTGTTACTTTTAATCTGTCCTGTTTTGCGGTGCTAATTCCTCCATGAAAGATCTCACGAAATCATTCGTCTTATCCGAGAAGGCTAGGTATTAGATCTTTCCTACCATAAGATCAGAGGTGTGGTTGCAAGACAGTAAGAAGGAACCAATGAGTAGCAGTAGAAAGGCTGCAGAAAGAGTCAGGAGTCCAGAGGAGGGGGCAAAGGGGAGGGATGGGGAGGGGACGAAAGTGGAGACGAAAGCAGACGACAGAACATAATTAGAGAGAGCAGGAAAGGACAAAATGGGAAAATTTTGGAGGAAAAAAAATGTCCATCGCTGTCAGGTTTCGAACTCGGGACCTATTGAATGAGAGGCAAACACTGTAACCTCTAGACCACG